TTAATCACGGAACCCTAGTCGATGAACTTCCAAAATATTGATAGAATTCCATTCTACACATTCAGAAAGCCATCTTTGGCCGGTTCAAACTGCATCTCTTGTACAGCGATGCAGTCTTGGCTTGAGCTGTGAACGCCGTCGCATCTCGCACCAGCCCGCTCTCACTGGGCCATCGCGAGGCTCTGAGTCCACGTTCCGGGGAGGATGAAGCCCTTCTGGTGCGCGGCGAAGACGCTCCCAGATTTGAGCCAGTCCTTCAGGAGTCCCTTGACGGCGGCGCCCATGCTCGGGACGCCCTCGGGCGCCTCGCCGGTGACGATGAACGTCTTGCTGCGGACGCGAGTCAGCACGGGGACGGGCTCGCTCTTGCCGGATTGCTGCATCTCGTCGCACTCGGGGTTGAGTCTCACTCAAGTGCTGTGTTGAAAGAGTTTCATCATTATTCCATATTCCTTATATTGCAATGTGTTTATCCCAAATGAAATTGCATGACTATGGTGTGGCTGTAGATGTGTGTTTAAGAAACAAAGTGGAAAACGTAGATATCAAATTTGATAAGTAGTGATGTAACTTACCTGATCTAAACAGCTGCTTGGAAGCTCAGAAAAGGAGAAAGTCGCTGCGAAGGCTTCGAAGTAGAGATGAGAAGCTCTTCAAGTTTAACAAGCACGAAAGCACGGTTTCCAGCTCTTATGTTCTAGCACAGGGAAACAGTTGGCAATGCCCACAGGCGGTTAAACCCTCCTTTATATACCCGGCCGAGGCAGCGACGTCACCCAGCACAAAACACGCAAGACGTTTCAGTGTTCTTGTTCATTTGCTTCGCTTCATCAAACCGAACCTTAACCCAAACAAAATGAAGATATAGTTCACAATGACGATTTCATCCGTTATTCACCGTAAGTAAGCGTTATGTGCCCTAAAGAATGTATTTTTTCCAAAGAACTTTCTTGGCAAAACCTGTCCGCCTTGAACCACTATATTTGCCTACCTCTTAAGACCACGTGACGGTGACTGCTTGAGCGCGAGGAGGAAGGAGGAAGATAAAGGAAATGTTTACGGAAATGATGATAGCAATCACTGTTAAACTCATCCTCGTCATAATAGTGATGACACCTACGGTGATGACAATAACAATAAATGATAAGATCATGATAGTCATAATAGAAATAAAACGATAATGATAATGATGAAAAAATATGAATAATAATAATGGCAATAGTGACGATGATAAAATTATGACATTAATACTACCACACACTATATATTTGATATTATTAAATAATGATTATTCGGTTTCGATTTATTGTTTTTCATCATCATTATATTTATTTGATTATTATTTGCATTATAATATCTTCATTTATTTGACGGGCATGATTTACCAATGATAATAACAATAAAATGATAATGATGAAGATAATCAAAATACAAATAATAATGATAATGATGATCATAATGATGAAAATATTGATAATAATAATGCATTAGTGACGATCATAAAATTGAATATAATACTACCAAACTACTTATTGATAATTATAATAATGATTATGGTTTCGATTTATTGTTTTAAAACAGAAAAGGTTCGACTTGCAGATGAAAAGGCATTCCAAATTGAAGAAAAACAGCCATAAGAATTTGTAGAATTACAATAAAAGGAGAGAGTACAAGTGAATTACCCTACTGTTCCTCGCATTCGCTCGAGTTCAGTATTCAAAACCAGTTCATTGCATGCAGATTGATCACCAAGATGCAAGATCCATAGATTAATTATAGCAACATATTACCAATCATGTTAACAATAAATCAATAATCACCCACATGGTATGTAAATTGTAAAGAATGAATTTTTTATAAAACACTTATGAAAAACACCAGATATTACTCAGGATAAATATTACACATCACTTTTCAAATGTACACCTTTTACAGTATTCATCACTTCTAGTCTGTGTGCACGTCAAAAGTATAATTTCTTAGAGTGAAATACAATGAAAGCGATAAACTTCAAAAATCGGATAAAAAATATAAAATCAGGGCAGGAGACGCCCACTACGGGCTGGTTCTGTAACTGCGTGCACGTCAAAAGTAAATAATTTCTTAGAGTGAAATACAATGAAAGCGATAAACTTTAGAAAAATAAAAGATATTGCAATTAAATAAATAAACAGTAATTACTACAAAGCAAAAGCTAGAACACAAAATGGATAATGATGACATCTATAAAATACAAGAACAAAAAAAGTGAAATAAAACATGAATGTAGAGTTTACAAAAAAATATGAAAATACACGTAAAGTACTAGATTGTAATTATAAAGCATCATATAAAATTTCACAAAATATTCAATTGCCTTCAAATGACACAACAACATAACGAGCTGATAGGATGAAGACTGTCGTGATAACAGTATAATGAACTAAAGCCATATTTAAGATCTAAGATTATCATATCAATAACGCACATGTGATTGCTTATATGCTCTTCTGTGTGTACG